TGGGCCCTTATAAGAAACCCGAGGAGACAACCCCAAATATCTGGCAAACACTTTGGCAGTTTAGGACTTGTCCTAGCTGTCATGGGCATGTAGAGCCATCTGGTCCCCTTGGCACCTACGTGTGCCTTTTCTCCTGGCATCTCCAGCTCTGAACATCCTCCAGCTTCTCTTGTGTTCGCTGGATTCCACCACACCTTAGCGTTAAATAGAGAGCACCATTTTGGGGTAATTAGAGATTCTTAATTAATTACAGTTATAGATTCAACGATTCAAAGCTTGACAAATGAGCTCAGGTAAGTTTTGTTGCAAGAACTGAGGAAAATTACTGGCCCTGCTGCCTGCCCTGCCCCTGCTGGAAGTTAATTTCCATTTCTGCTGCCCAGCCAAAAGCTGAGCAGGAGCCTCCAGCCGGCGGCTCCACTCATCGCCCAGCCCCAGCTCCATGGGGCGAGCGGAGCGTTGTGACACGGCGCCTTTTCCTTGGGCCATCGTCACCCTTCCAGGTGTGAGGCTGTCCGGCCGCAAGCAGAGTGCGACAGCCTGACACAACCTCGAGGACATCTTGGGATATTGCAGCAGGCAAAAATCCCAGGTTTTGTCCAATAGGTCTCAAAGGCATTTTGCTTTGTTTTGTTTTGTTTCCTTTGAGCTGATACAGGGCAAAGAGCAAAGGAAGGGCCGAGGGCATCCTTTTAGGCCACTTCGAGATTTCTGTTACTGAAAAACTTCTTCAGTTAATTAGGAATTAGTTCTGGGTTGCAGTGATCGCCTGAAGAACTCAACCTGGTACCTCCTCTTAGTTTTCAGGAACCATCCTATCGTATGTTGACACATCCTTTTATGCTGATTGACCTGAAAATATGAGCACCCTCTGACATAGAAGTTGCGCACCTGAAGACACGATCTGTTATTTTGTTGCTTGCAGATTTGCAAGCAGTCTGCTCTATTAGCAGACAAATATCTGAGTTTCAAGGCAAACTGAGCGCGTGTACAATTACATGGTTTGAATTTAAGATTATGGGCAAAAAATGTAGATCAGATGGAATATTCAGAGAATGTGTCATGGAATAGCCTGCGAGCAAGGCCTTCACGCCAACCAGTTAAAAAGGGCTGTGTAGCCAACAGAGAGGAAAAATAGAATATTTGTGGCCAGACCTTACACAATAACAGTTCATGGAAATGAGCTGGAACACCCTTGCAAGAAACACAAGGACATCCAATGAACACGAAATAGCATCTAAAGCTGAGAAAGCTTATTTATATAATCCTACGAAAGCGAAAATGAAAGAGAGGGGAGGCAGCAAGTGGGACAGCGCGGGATTTAACAATTTGCTAACACCACCGTTGCAGCACCGTGCAACTCAGGTTTGACCGTGCAACTCAGGTGTGACTTCTGCCCCCGTGCAGATACCTCTGAGGGGACATAACTCAAGAGGCAGCAGAAACAGCCAGGACCATAGAAATGTTAGGGCAGACCACAGCCAGTTTGGGCAGCACGTAGGTTTTACGGGGACTTGCATTACGTGCCGAGGCCAAGGTTTTGGAGCAGACCCCATTTCCATGGCTCCTTGTGCTTTGCCTGCAGCCCAGCACCAGGCCTGGATCAGATTCCCCAAGGAATCCGCAGGCAAAACGGCCTCCAGGTTGTCCCTTACGGCCCTTTCAATGAATAAGAGTTGGGACAAAAAATTTAGCAGCACCATAAGAAAATAAGGAAACGGTGACAGCCAAGCGTGTCCCCAAGCACAGCCTGAGGGCCCTGCCACGCCCGAGGTGGCACCACGCTGCCAAATAGCTCCGAGGCCCTCCAGAAACAGCACTCGTGTGAAGGAGGGAGAGCAGAGAGGGCAGCAGGTAGAGCGGGATAACGGTGCCAGGGCCGCGGCGAGCCGGCTGCAGCGGTGCTGCATTTGCCTTGTTGGCCATACCAAAACCATGTTTTCTGGGTGAAGATTTAGGGATGAGAGGGGGATGCCTGATTTATTAGAGAAAACAAAAAGCCCAATTTCAAGTTTTTGTTTTGTTTGTTTTTATTTTACTTCCTAGATATTCTATGTTTAAATAGTCAGGAGGATAAGACTTTGAGGATCAAGAAAAAACAAAAACCAAAAAAATAATCCTCTGTATTCAGGCTACCCTGTGTTTTTCTGGCTTTCCCAAGAATTTACCTACCTTCTTCATTTTCTTGAGATTAATCATGTCAAATGACAGCTGAGTTCAGGTCGTAGTGCAACCACTGTCTGCAGCGAAAGGAGCAGAAGACGCTAGTTTCATCCCCTGGGACAGCTTCTGAGGTACTTGAGCCTCAAAGAAAAAAAAAAAGTGCCATTTAAAATATATAGTAGAGGAAAAACATTAAGGTAATGGAAACTCAACATTTCTAATGTTTCAATGTTCCAACTATATAAATAGAACCTCAGTCAGTACATTAGACAATTGACTGGCTTTGCTTGAATGCATGCAGGAATAAATGGAAACATCCCTATTTCCTATCCCAAGGGGCAATTATTTCAGAGCCTGGTTTTGTGCATTAATAAAAAGCAAGATCTCATTGTCTGGGAGCTAAAATCTCATACTGTTGTACCCTGCCCAAGCAACCCAGCAGGAGGAACAGCACCCAGAAAACTTTGCTATCTCGCTCTCTAAACAGAAACTGTCCTTTAGCCTTTATCATTTTTTTGTATGTGTGTGTATATGATGTATTTTACAAGTTCTGCTAGTCCTGACACATCCTAACGACATTTGTGTTTACAGCTGGTCCTAGCAGCTTATTGCTCTGACACTAGAATGAGTCTAACAAATGCAAAGACGGGAATGTCGCACCTCATCCGAACGGGATTGCAAGTCAAAACTCAACTTTCTTCCAGCTCACAACTGGAATAGCAAATTCATTCATTTCTCTGCATTTTCCTTTCTTCTCCCCGTGCACCTCCAGTTGGTTTGCGTCGATTTAGAGGAGAAAAAAAAAATTATGCACCAAGTATTCAGAAGTGGTGCATGTTACTCCTTCCCCACATCTCTCAACTCTAACAGGGATCTGTGGGACACTGAAATGCCGAGGGTGGGATGACACTGGGGCAGCGCACGGGAAGAGCTTTGCTGCAGGAAGGCTTCCTTGGTCATTTTGCATCCGGGACACCAAATGCCCCCAAAGGTTTCGCATCCATCACCACCACCCCGGCACAGTGTTTTTTGCGCTGTAAATTAGTGCAAAAGCTCTATGTTTCTCCAAAACAGTAAGATGAGGCTAAAACCACACGGGAAATCTGTTAAGTTTCAAATAGCAGGATTTTGCAAACGTCTAACATGACAGATGCAGATTCCAATACAGTCAGATTCACTATAAAACAAAGCCGGCAAGATTGACTTTTATTAAGAGAAGCCTTCAAATCCATCTTGAGCTACTATTTAAGTAGGCAGCCAGCACAATAATGACATCTTAAAGGAAAAAAAAAAATTCTTGGAGATACATAACGTGTTTAATTGAAACCATTAGTTTTACTGGCAAACAGCTCCGTATTTCTGTTCTGTTAATCTGAACAAAGTGCTGCAATTATGACTCAATACATAATGTCCTCTAGTGCTACTCACCCCACATTCCTCAAGGATAGAAAGAAAGCAAAACGGTTTTTGGTTAACAAAACATTCCATGCTTCTATCCAGAATACTTTTATTATATGGTTATCATATACATCAGAATTATAGTGGGAACATTTACAAATATGTAAAGATAGGTCGGGACCTCCATTATTCACATACACACCAACTCGCACACTCGGTTCGCAGGTCTGGTCGGTTACCAGGTGAATGATGCACAAAATTATTGCTTTGTGAACATAACACCTCTGATTAAATCTAATCTTCAGTGGCAAGAATCGAGATATTAAAAAAAAAAAAAAAAAAGTCTTAAATACCCTGTATAACGTACCTGTGCATAAACCTAAAGATATGTTTAGCTTACCCATTACCTTTGAAATACTTACCAAAATTAAAATTTGAAACCCATTTATAAAAAAAAAAAAGTCTTAAAAAGTTCACCATTATTTACAAATCCGATTAAATTACACATAAATAAATATTTACATTCAACACACTGTTTCCCTTAATACACATAAAGCCTCCCTGGAAGTATTTTTGGCCTTAATAGGCAAAAACAAAAGTTAAAAAAAAAAAAAAAAAGTTATGTGCCTATTCTTTCAAGTCCTGTTCCCCTCCCAACCCCAATTTAAAAACAAGACACAACATAAATATGTGAATAAAGCTGCAATATCCTTAGACACAGAAAATTCATTTTCTAAAAGCATTTTCATTTTGAACTATTCCTTGTTAAAAAAAAGTTAGGCTAATATCCCACTGCAGCCAACATGACTGCAGTTTTTGATAGACTTGATTATTTCCATAAAAATAAGCATGTCAAATGCCAATAGGTAACTTTTATATCTACCAGGATTTTAGTACTCTCCTATGGGAATTTGAAAATAAAGCAAAGAACAATAATCTTACTATTTTCAGGTGTTTATAAAAAAAAAATGTAATGTACATAAATCTATATACCATTGTTTAATACTGCTTTATTGTTACTGTTGCATTTAGAGAGAATAAAACCCTGAAGTTCTGTCAGGTAACAAACTGGCTCCCATCTAAAATCTATATTTTAAAAACTATACATGAAGCTGGTCACCACTGAATATTTAGAGGTTGGAAAAAAAAAATCTAGATATCTCTCTTTGTATAAGTTCCAACAAAAACCCTTATATAGCACCACTTTTACAGCAAAAGGTTTCAATACACTTGTACCAAGGACTTATCTTCTGGCAATTGCTTCCACAGATAAGGGATACTGCAGCTTTTAAAGACTTGTCTCATGAATCCAGGGGGAGCGAAGATCCTGAATAAGAGGGGTTTTTTTCTTTTTTTCCCCTCCATTCTTCAAAACCAACCAAACAAAAAAAAGTAATCAAATTTCTACATTCCCCCCAGCAAGAGGATCCCAGTCTGTGCTTAGGAGGAGCGTTTAAAGTCTGGTGTCTCCGCTTTTACTTCCTGTGCTTGTCCATTTTATCCAGGGGTTTGTTGGTCTCTGCGGGGCTCTGGTCGCCAGCGTTCATGTACGTTTTGTCTGCTATTTTTAACGCTTCATTTAGGTAGTTCTGGACGGATGTCATGGCAGCGCAGATGGCAGCGCTCCCAAAGCCATGTGTGATGAGGCTAAAATGAGTCAAGCAGCCCTGGATGCCAGGGTCCAAGATGGGGCTGGGGCGCGTGTTGCCCAGAGGAGTTCGGTCCTGAGTGAGGAGGTCGGTGAATTCCTTACAGATCTGCCTGCAAGACACAGAGCCATCAGCGGGGGCAAACCGAGGCTGCAAACCTTGCAGAACATCCCTTACGCTCCCAGGGCAGCACAGAAAAGAACTAAAAGCCCTTCAATATCAGCATGGCCAGGAACCAGTAAGAGTTTTCAAGGAATTCATTACTCCAGCAACAGGATGGCTGCGCTTCCTAGTCCCAATCCTAAAATTTAATCTTGTGTCATCTCCTGACAAGGCTCCCGTTCCATCTGCACATCCCCCAAACACAGCCACGCGCTGCAGCATCCTCTCTGCAGCTCTGGTGCCTGCCTCCTGCTGCATCGGTTGCTCCAGATTTTACCAGGAGAGAGGCTGGGAATTTTGGGCTAGTTTCTATGAGAACTTCTACAGCTGCAGTCAAATGATTTAGAAAATATATAAGCAGCTGAATGGGAGATTCAATTTAGCTGTGCATATTGCACACACACGTCCCCTTTAACGGACGCCCAGGCCCTAATCCTGCAAACACTAACACATGTGTCTGGCCAAACGCGTGGTTCGTAACGCCCGAGCATATGTTGTTTGCGGCTCGCGAAGCCGTCCCCTCTCTGCGGCTGCCCGTGGGCCAAGCAACCCCACGCAGCCCCTGCGAACACCTTCCAGCTAACAACAGTCATCGAGCACTAACAACACTCGTCGTGCTCACACACGGACCTGACGGGGTAGCGCCGAGCACGAAGCGCGAGGTCCACAAGGACAGGTGACATTATATAGTCCTATCAAGGGGGATATAGTCCTATCGAGGGGGAGCTCCCACAGGGAGAGCAGGAACTTCCGAGCAGGACAGAGCACCCACTGCCCACCCCAGCTCAGGACAGGGCTCAGCCCCTTCCCAGGGCTGTTCCCCAGACCCTGCGTGGGGGAACGGCACCTTCCAAGAGCAGGTACTCCCCAGGCAGCGCAGAACAGAGCCAGGGACCTGCCGAGCTCACAGCACCTCGGCCCCGCGTTCAAGGGGAGCAGAACCAAAACCATGAGCTGCCTCCTGGGCACACAGCGAATTCACACGGACCAGGGTCTGCGGCACAGTGACACCAAAGCTCCCCCTTCACCCGTCCTTCCCCTGCTCACCAAAGTCCTCAGTGAGCACAGGGACTTCTCACAGCTACCATGGGCTGCCCCAACCACAGCGATGCCACCGCACTGCTGCCACCACCACGCACACCCCTTCTACCAACCCGGGGACGTCTCCTGTTCCGTGGGGACCAGGCTGGTCTGGCACGTGACTTGTTCTTTAAGTCATTCCTATTCTCCCTGCCCCCCCCACCTTTTTTGGGGGGGAAAAAAACAACAAACTGGTTCAGAGTTATCACACAAGTATCACTGCTTCAAACTCAAATGACTGCTGCCATGGTTGAATTGAAACCAGAACCAGATCAAAAGGGACGTTACATCTCCCTGATTAAAACTGCACGAGAAAGAGCACCCAACTCTGTGCACAATCACTCATGGTCTAACAAAAGCATCTTTAAAAAGAAAAAAAAAAAAAGAGGGGGGGGAAAATAAAGTAAATTAAATCTCCGAAACTTACTTTGCAGCAAGAAGCATGTTCTTCCTGTTTGCCATTTCATTGCGGCCCATGTGCGGTCGAGTTAAATATTCAGCCACTGCTTTGGATGGAAACTCTGTCTCGCATACATAACCAAAGTCACGAGCAAGATGCACAGCTTCACCTGGCACGGGGAAAGGCAATGCTCATTACACGTAATTACAGCTGTTAACTACAGACCATGGAATTAAGCATGGTACTTCGGATCCTTGAGGTATGCTCTTATTTTTATGTCTTTATTTTACAAAGAAACATAGCTATTTTTCCCATCCTAAGCATTTGTTCCTATTTTCTAATCAATAGACACACAATTTGTTTTTGTAAAATTGCTTTTGGGGGTGGGAAGACATGACTGCTAGAATGTTTTTTTTTATAGTTAGCCCTTGCCCTTATAACTGAAAGAAAAATCTTGCCTCTCCCCAGATGAGCTGCACAGTGAAGGACAGTCCTCCAACAAAGTAAAAACCACACACTGATATTTTTTAAAAATCGTAACTAAATTCCACCCATGGAGTAAATAATTATTTGGTTTATTTTGTAATAAATTTTCTAATAATCATATAGAAATAAAATTGAGGGAAAGAAGCATAACTAGGCCCCTTTTTCAGGCTTCCCAGCTGCCTGGCAAGATCCAGCAGCGCGTCCCACAATGTGCACGGGGCCACGTTAAAAAGGCTAAGCACCCTCATACACCCTCATACACTCCTATTCTTTTAGCACTAACTTCCAAAAGAAGTTTAAAGTAGAAGCTGGTGTAGTAGCAGTAGTGCAGAAATGCAATACAAGTAAGGTATTCTACCATTTTTTCCACACTTAAATTGCTGCTTCCATTCCTATTAAATTGGGCCTTCCTCTCCTACTAAATTGCACCCCTACTGCTGCCTTGAACGAGCACACGGAACAACCACACACAGGCATAAATACACACATCCGTCAAGCCCAGCGGAGCCGACGGAGGGTCCACGGAACACGCTGCAGATTAAAGGGGCTCCAGTTTCCTATCAGGAAGTCGAGCACTATAAATCTCACTTTATATGCTGCTTTATTAGGACAGCGCCGGGGCAGGGCCGGGCACCGCAGCCCCGCGTCAGAGCGTCCCAGGAGGCATCGAACGCGCCAACGGGCTGCGTTTCCCCTCTTGTGCTGCCCTGGGCACCCTTAAAAACCCCAAACGACCCCATCTCTGAGCGGGAGGAGGGTCGGGCTGCCCGGCTCCCGCTGCGGTGCCCGCCGGCCACGGGAGCAGGGAGCGCAGGAGTCCCGGCAGCACCAACACGACCGTTTGAAACATAAAATAACACAAAAAGCTCTCTCAAACTGCTCTATTTTCTAACTTTTCTATGCTTTGCCTGCAGTATATAAGCTGTACACAAGGGGAAAGAAAGAAAAGTTTAGTTTAAGAGACATTCAAGACTGACCTTCCACCAAAGATGTCAATAATGTCACATTTGCAGCTTTCCTTCTACCAGCTGGAAGATTCAAGCCAATTTTATCCAGTTTTTCCCGTAATGATCTGCCACCATTTTTAGATTTGGCTCTGTAATTAGAGGGAAATAAATGGCCTTATTTATCTTCAAGGGAACCTTTTTCCTTTAAGATGAGAAATTCCAGTTGCTGACATTCAATAAGGTTCTACTGGGTGGAAGATAAAAAACAGGCTCTCTTTTCAAGTGACCTACTTCTGAAATGCTCAAAAAACAACCAGCCAGGATGAAACACAGAGTTCTAAATTCAAGAACATTTAAAACTGCAATATCGAAACCAACAGTTGTAGAATGATCACAGCCCAGATTAAAACTGTTTGCAAAACAGGGATAGAGAAAGCATCCTTTTAAATGCCAAATCAAGATCATGCTTTTAAATGCCAAATCAAGACTGTGAGATTTAATATAAAATCATTTCATGGGGAAACAATTTGTCACTGGAATGAGAAAGCTCCAGGAGCAGTTTCAGAGTGGGGAAAAAAAAAAAAAAAAAAAAAACAGACTTTCAGACAGAGAACGACAACCGCTGTCGGAGCTGTTAATAGCACTTCTCCAAGAGAAGTGGCAGAAGTGCAAAGAAGTTTTATTTCCAAAGCCCATTAGGATTCTGTGTCAGGATTTAAAAAAAAAAAAAAAAAAAAAAAAATCACACACAACTTTCCCAAAAGGCTCCGTTTCCCATTTCCTGGCTCCTCGCTGAACAAGACGAAGCCCCGCGCGCGGGGCCGCGGCCCTGCCTCCCTCCGCAGCACTCCCCCCAGCAGCGACGCGTTGAGGCACTCCGGGGGCGAGAGCCGGCGCTGAACCTCGGCCACCGTCACTTTGTACTTGGACGTGGAGCTGAGCAGGGAGAGCCGCCCCGGCACGGAGCAGAACACCTCGTTGGGGTTTATGACCACGCCGATTAATCCATCCTTCTGGCAGGGGAGACTCAGAGCACTGTTTTTCGTTAAGGAAATGGGACCTGCGAGAGGAGGACGGAAAGCAGGTATTTTACAAAAGGCAAGACTAAATAGGCAGGTATTTTACGAAAGGCAAGAATAAGTAGGAAGTGGCAAGTGCATTTCCACTGCAAAAACGAGGGGCAGGAGAGGGGATTTCGTTTGGTGCTAAACACTCCGCACTGACTCTCATCTGCGCCACGCTGCCCTCCGCTGAAGTTAGAGGGTCCCCAAACTGGCCCAGAACAATACCAAATATCAGCCTTTTGTTGCACTAAGTTTCAAGCAGTTGCTGAACTGCAATTAAGAATACTTTAAAAAAAAAAAAAAAAAAAGGCACACACACCCCAGTGAAACAGCATGCCACAAGTTAACAAATTCATACTTATGAGAAGCCTGGTACGACTGCCGAGTACAAATTAGCATCCCCCAGCTCGTGCCAAAACCTCTTCCAGAGCAGGCAGAGGTCTCGAGGCTGCCGCA